TTAGGGTGCTCAACACCGCTGAGAATCAGGACAAGTACACCTGCCCCCAGCAGCTTATGAGCACCATGTACTGCTTAATTACTGGATACTGGAGTGTACGTGATGGCTCCAGTGGATTCATTAAATATGCATTGCCCTTGTGTTTTCTGGTTCATACTTTTGCTCTAATTCTCTCTCTTTTGGTTGATATACTATGAGCAGGAGGTCACTTAGCTGCCACTTATTGCTGCCTTTGTTTCTTCAGTGTATTCTCATAGAGGATTTGAGCCATTGTGTTTCAGGGCAGGCACCAAACTTGCTTTGTTGTGCAGCAAAGACACGAGAAGGGCTATTTCTCTTGTGACCATCATCCTGGGAGATGTATCAGAGTAGGAACTTGGATCTCAAAGGTATGAGGGCTTAGCAAGGGTGCTAACACACTCTGTCATTAACATTTTCTCCACTTTTACTTAACAGCCTGAACAGCATTAATGCTTGTGCTATGGATCTGTACTTTAATAGCTCCAGCCTATGTCCCTCTAGGCCTAGCTGTGCTCCTGAGACCCTGCTGTGCAACTGGCAGTGATATTTTTAGGATACCTTAGTCCCCCTTCAATTCAGGAGTAAATGGACAGATCATCTGCCAAGAGCAGTTTTACTGATTGATTTTTTTTAGTGGCTTTATAATAGTTTTTCTGGTCTACACAGCTAAATATAAAAGATCCTGGGCCCCAAACTTGCCATCTTCAGGTGCCTCAAATGCCCTTTGCTGTCACTGAGCCTATAGCAGCCAGGCGGACTGCAGAATCAGATTCCCCGCAAGTGCCATACGGCGTGAGAGAGAATGGTGCTGTCCTTGTCCCTTGCCTTCACTTTGCTCTTTGAGGTACTTGCATCCCGCAGGCAGCCATTAACAAAGACAGCAGCTTCCCATTCCCACCCAGAGCACATGCATAAGTAGCAAACAATGGTGCTCACAGTGCAATGGTGAACAGCTCCTGGATTTTTATTTTTTCTCTTCTAAGGCAGCCTCCTTTGGAGGAGCATTAAAATGGAGTTATGAGGGCATCATGGAGATGGCCCAAGAGCTGACTTTAGGAAAATATCAATTACCCTGCACTTTCTATGCGTGACTCATGCAGGGTGCGGTGGATCTGACTCACAAACAAAATGAACCTGCTTCAAAGAATGAATGCACTAGGGAAGTCAGAGGCACAGTGACATGTGAACCCATGGGGCTGTGCTAGATTGGCTTGCATAACATGGCTCACTACTCTAAAGACCTTGCGACCTAACCTTGCACTTATAATAGTAATAATCATCAGTCGACTTCTAAAGTGCCCCCGCTTAGTGCCCCCACTCCAAAGTGATCAGTGACTGCACAATGTAAAAAATGCAATTAAGCTAATGCATTGCACACGGGAGAATAAAATAGAACTTCACATTCAAATGTAATGCTTGGTTTCTAAATGAGTGGGTGAAAAAAAAACCTACCTGGCCCTGATGTGTCTAGGGGCTCAACGCACCTGGTATGCCCACTCACAGACATGGCACCTGCAAATGATCAGAGCTGGATAGATCAGTCAAACTATCATAGGCATTGAAAAAAAAATCAGAACCTGAGATTCAAAGGAGGTGAAACAAATAGAATGAGCCAGCTGCAAAAAAGAGAAAGAAACAATAAAACAGAGTGGAGGGACGAGGATTGAAGGGAAGCAGCTGAGATTCGTCCAATTAATAATACCTGCTTTTATCTTCAGCAGATCTCAGAGCACTTCACAAAGGAGGGTAGGGCGGGGTGTCCCCACAATAAGTCGCCCTGGTATACATCTGTTCTGCACTAAAGTCGTTGATGCTTGTAGGAACTGATGTGTTATAAGTCCTCCCATTGCCCGCTCTTAGGTCATGCAACAACAAAAAATTGCACAAATGGAAGTCAGCCATGGGGAAAAAAATTCCCTGCTTTAAGTTGTTTCACTATAAGTCCAAGTTTTTTGGAATGTATCTTGGACTTACAGCGAGGACAGCCTGTATCATTAAGCCAGTGTTCCAGATAGGAAACAGAGGTGAAGTGACTAGCTCAAGGTTATGCAGCCAGCCAGGAGCCAACCCAACTCTCCCGTGTTCCAGCCCACTAGGACGCACTGCCTGATGCAATAGAGAGGGGTGGTTTGAAAGGCATTTCTTTAAAACCCAGTCTGTGTGCCCTGCTTGAGAAGTCTGTCTCCTCCCAAGCCTGTGTTCTGTGATCTGCCTATGGCTTCCTTCTGGCTCTGTGAAAGCACAATTCAGTTCTTCTGCACTACTGGGAGCTAGCAGGGAGCCTATGTGTGTTATTCCTCCCTAAAAACCTTTCCTTCTCCTACCTGACACTGGATCTGCCATGGATCTCTTGCCACAAGAGGATGGCTTGGGGCAGAGATCAAAGGGCGAGCGAGTTGCTCGCACTAGCACCCCCTTGGCACATGCCTGATCTCTTGCTGAGCTAAGATGGGATTCTAGGCCGCAGGTGGTAACTGAGCAAAGCCTTCTGATGATGAGGTTCCAGGGGAAGCCAGTGCTGGTCATGAGTTCAAGTGCCGCACAAAGGCCTCTGAAGTTTTAGTTCTGGATGGAAAGTCTGGAGTTTCAATGTAAACAAGTGGGAGGCTTTCTCCTAAGCCTACATGGACCTTTTTGAGTGTGGCGAGCTAGCTGAAAAGCTGGTGAAGGCAGACTTTCCCCTTGATGGAACACAGCTGTTCCAGGCTCCATCTGGTTTGGTAGCACCCTAGCCCTTCTTTTAGCGACCATTTGGAGAGTTGTTGCTGAATTGCTCTCCCCAACCCTAGAGCAATACAGCAGACGTGAGGAACCATTTTTGGGTCAGGGGCTGCTGACCCACAGAAAAATCAGTCGGGTCACACACAAATGAGAAGGAGACTGAGAAGGAGAAAGATACTACCCACATTCCCCTCACACACCAGAGCCTATGGAGGGCCCAGGCTAATAGCTTTTGTATGCTCCAGGGAATCTTCAAGCAATCCTTCTCCTGTCACCCATTCCCAGCCTCTGACAGCGGCTAGGGACACCATTCCTAATCCTGGCTAATAGCCGTTGATGGACCTAACCTCCATGAATTTATCCAGTTCTTTCTTGGACGTTGTTAAAGTCCTGGTCTTCACAACATCATCTGGCAAGGAGTTCCACAGGCTGACCGTGTGCCGTGTAAAAAAACCTTCCTTTTGTTTGTTTTAATTAATTTCTTCTGGTGACCCCTAGTTCTTATTTTATGGGAACAAGTAAATAACTTTCCTTTATTCACTTTTTCCACACCAGTCATGATTTTATAAACCTCTATCATATCCCCGCTTAGTCTCCACTCTTCTAAGTTGAAAAGTCCCTGTCTTTTTAATCTCTTTTCATATGGGACCCATTCCAAACCCCTAATCATTTTTGTTGCTCTTTATGCCAATATATCTTTTTTGAGATGAGGTGACCACATCTGCATGCAGTATTCAAGATGTGGGTGTACCATGGTTTTATACAGAGGCAATAAGATAGTCTCTGTCTTATTCACGATACCGTTTAAAATGATTCTTAACATTATTTGCTTTTTTGATTGCTGCTGCACATCGAGTGGATGTTTTCAGAAAACTATCTACAATGACTCCAAGATCTTTCTCGAGTAGTTATAGCTAAATTAGTCCCCATCATATTGTATTTATTAAATTTCACTTGTCCTTTTGTTGCCCAATCACTTAATTTTGTGAAATCTTTTTGAATCTCTTCACAGTCTGAGCTAAGTCTTTACTATTCTGAGCAGTTTAGTATCATCTGCAAATTTTGCCACTTCACTGTTTACCCCTTCTCCAGATCATTTATAAGTAGGTTGAATAGGACTGGTCCCAGTACGGACCCTTGGGAAACCCTACTAGTTACCTCTCTCCGTTCTGAAAACTTACCATTTATACCCTTTGTTTCCTGTCTTTTAACCAGTTATCAGTCCATGAGAGGACCTTCCTCCTTATCCCATGACAGCTTACTTTATTTAAGAGCCTTTGGTGAGGCGCCTTGTCAAAGGCTTTCTGAAAATCCAGTCTATCTAATGGATCCCCCTTGTCCACATGTTTGTTGACCCCCTCAAAGAACTCTAGTAGATTAGATTGGTTCCCTTTACAGAAACCATGTTGACTTTTCCCCCAACAAATTTTTGAGAACTCGGGTGAATACCATCTGGTCCTGGTGACTTGCTACTGTTAAGTTTATCAATTTGTTCCAAAACCTCCTCTAATGACACCTCAATCTGGGACATTTCCTCAGATTTGTCACCTAAAAAGAATGGCTCAGGTTTGGGAATCTCTCTAACGTCCTCAGTCGTGAAGACCGAAGCAAAGAATTCATTTAGCTTCTTCGCAATGACCTTGTAGTCTTTAAATGCTCCTTTAGCATATCAATTGTCCAAGGGCCCAACTGGTCTTTGAGCTGGCTTCCTGCTTGTGATGTACTTAAAAAACATTTTACTATTACTTTTTGAGTTTTTGGCTAGCTGCTCTTCAAATTCCTTTTTAGCTTTTCTTATTATGTTTTTACACTTCATTTGACAGCGTTTATGCTCCTTTCTATTTTCCTCACTAGGATTTAACTTCCACTTTTTAAATAATGCCTTCAAATGATGGCTCACAAAACATCAGCCTCTCTGACTTGGGCCGAGAGCCACCCCTGGACAGATGGCTACAGATGTGGTGGTGGCCAGCAGTACCAGCTGTATGAAGGTAGAGGAAATAATAACGTGATTGCCCCAATAAAGCAGCAAGGAAAACTCCTGGATCCTATTTAAGTCTAGAGCCAAAATATGTGTCTGCATTATAACAGTAAACATATTCCCCTGTGTAACCAAGAGCTCTCCTAGAAAAGCTTTAATGTTCAGGCAGTGGACTGTTACTTTATTACCCTGATTAAATTACACAAGCTTTTCCTTTCTCTCTGTCTCTGCATGCCCTGCAATCTCCCTCTGCCTTTGCACACTCCCTCCCTTCTCCCTCTGCCTTTCTTGCTGTGGGGGCAGTGATGCAGGTATGACATACAGCCCTGTTCTCCCTCCGCTGGGATCCCCTCTGGTGCATCATTAGCATTCACTGGCTGGCTGGACTGCATCATTGTTATAGGAGATTCCAGTGCAGTGAATCCCTCTTTCTTGGAACTCCGGAGCTGAACTGAGCACAGAGAAGCAGCAGAAGCAAATAACTTCACATTACAGGTAAGAGCAAGTCATTTCTCCTGCTATCGTGGAAGAAGACAAACAGACATTTTACAGGGAACGCTAACGGCTGGCAGGATCTCAATCCCCAACATTAGTTTGCTGAGTGCCCAGCTAATGTCTGAGTGCTGCAAAGAAATAGGGAAACAAAATAAAACAGAAGAAAAATACCACTGAAAATAAGGATGCTCAAGGGCAAGGGCGCAGCAGCTGAAGGGCTGAGATGAAGGAACAGGAATTGTAGGGCGCTTTGCTATTTTAACTAGATCAGCAGTGTCAGAACAGTCAAAACCAAAGCAACAATTCAGATTAACACCGTTTCCCTCCCTGGCTCTCCTTATCCTCTTCTGAGAGCAGTCATGAGCTGCAGCGTGTAGTGTTTTAGCTAGGTGGAAGGTGCTCAGGCTGAAGCAAGACAGGGTTTTTTATGAGGACAATTAAAATAGATTCTGATGTATGTCTGGGGATAGGTGTAGCGGTGGGCTGTAGGGGTGTGAAAGGGTGAGGGGTGTGTATATAAGTGGGGCATGTTGCATATGTTTGGGTGAGGGGGGTACAGAGGTGTGTTTGCGGCTGGATGAGTCGTGTGTGGGTGGGTATGCCTCCCCCACACAGGCATAACACAGCAAACATGAGTATTAATCGTCCTTTTCAAATAATCCTTCCTACCTCAGGGTATTATAAATGCAGCTCAAACTAAAATCAGCAGCTGGTCACCTCTGTTGGCAGAGGATAAAGCCAGCCACTAAAAGCAAGGTAAGGGTTTTCAGTTTGAACAGGGGCTGTAATATATTTTGGTTTCTCTGATATGATTGATCTGGTTACACAAATGTGTGTGTGCGTGCAGTCCCCTATGCAGGGACTTCTGTGGAGGGTGCTTTTTTGTAAATGAGGATAGCAAAGGTGTGAATGCCCCCCTTCTCCCCATGCTTCCCCAAGTAAGCGGGGAAATCAGCCCTAGCCTTCCCCTGGCTAGCCAGAGCATGGGGGAGGGATGCTCGAACAGCGCACTGCCCCTGCCTTCCCTTGGCTAGCCAGAGCATGCTTATTTGGGGGGCCATAGGGAGGGAGCTTTCACACACCCCTGTGTATGGCCTGGCGTGTGTCTGGGGACAGGCGCTATTCAGCAGAGATTCTCTTTACATATGTAGGCTGCAATAATACAATCCATGATACTGAGAACCCCTAAAAACCATAGGCATGAACTGGATCCACGATAGGCTCCGTGCTGTGTTTGCCCATCGCTCTGACCAAATGAACGAAGTGATTGGAGTGGAGCGGGGAGGAAAAGAACTGGGCTATAGTGTTTTCTCCTGTGTGGGAAGGGGAACCCCAGGTGATTTTAGATCAGATGCTTATCACATAACACCTGAATATGTGGTCCGTGAGGGCTCCCTTCCTCTGGACAGCCTAGGCAGAAATGAAAGACCGGTAGGAGTGATGTTCCTGGCAGGGCTTTAAAAACGCTGCAAGTCATGACTATCCAGGCTCCTATTTCTGATCATCTGCAAGAGGGGAGAGAGTTAATCCTATTGTTGCCTAGTCAGATTTAAATATACAATAGCGCTGCATTGTTTCACCTCCGGGTAAAAAGACACAGCCACATGCTTGTTCCTCACCTGGCAATTATCTCTATCTCCTCTTCAGGAATTGCACAGCAGGTTGCTACCTTATCCTGTTGGTCACCTATAATCATAGCCAGGTTGCCTGCTCCCACAGGATAATACATAGGTGGGGGCTTTGACAAGAGAAGAACATCTACAGTTTCCTCCATAGTCTTCTCTTGAAAGGAGCAAGGTCACCCTTTACCCTCCAGTAGAAGAAGGAAAGCATTTGCCCCCAAGCCTGCAGATCTGAGGATCCTCTACAGCAGTGTAGCATTTGCCCCCAAGCCTGCAGATCTGAGGATCCTCTATAGCAGTGTTTTCTGAAAGTGCTCCACGAAAGCACTTTGAGAAACACATTCACTGGCTGCCCCAGTTTGTTTATTTACTGGTGCCACGGAGCCTCCTGGCTCCCATTGGCCCCGTTTCGCTCTTTGCAGCCAAGTGGAGCAGCGGGAAAGCGATGGCCTGGCACCCACTGCTTCCTGTGGCTCCCCTTGGCTGCAAAGGATGAAACGGAGCCAATGGGAGCTGTGAGGCTCCGTAGCACCAGTAAATAAACAAACTGGGGCAGCCACTTAATGTGTTTCCCAAAGTGGTTTTGCGGAGCACTTTCAGAAACACTGCTCTACAATCTTGGGCCATCTGTAGGGGGGCCCCCATGCTTCCCTGCTCACCTTCTCTTACTCCCTGACAGCTCAGTTCCTAAAGTCCCAGCTGTTCAATGAGGCAAACATCCCCTCTCCCCAGGCTCCAAAATTCCTGGGCTCCTGGTGGGGTGGGAAACGCAGATGGTCTTTGGGTTCTGGTGAGCAAAGAGCCATTCCTCTGCCCCAGGCATGTTGTGTGGGGGTCACCTGGGCCAACAGGAGTGACTGAAAGGCTCCAAGGGCGAGTCTACACTTAGGAGAAGACTGACATTCCAGATGTCGATCTTCTAGCACTCGATTTAGTGGGTCTAGTATAAACCCCTAAATGGAATGCTTAGGATAGCCCTCACTGGTGCATGGTACTCCTCCTTCTGTGAGGAGTAAGGGAAGCCGACAGGAGTATTTGCTCCCATCCGCCTCTCATTATGTGGATGCCGTCAAGGCTCGGTTTAAGGTAAGCTGACTCCAGCTATACCTTACAGATGCGGTCCCCAACCTTTTGGGGCTGCTGGGAGGCCAGGGGCGGGGCCGCTCATGCGCCGCGTGCCTGGGGGCCGGGCTGCGCATGCGCTGCGCATCCGGGGGCGAGGCCATGCCTGCACCATGTGCCCGGGTCTGGTATCATGCATGCACCACACGCCCAAGGCCTGGTGCACAAGAATGGCTTGAGCTGGCCCTGGTCACCTGGCAGGCACCGCGTTGGAGACCACTGCCTTACAGCCTTAGCTTCCTGGGGCAGGGGTGTGTATGAGTCAGCCTCTCTAGCATCTCTTGCCTGCACCTTGTGATGTACTGAGCATCTTCAACTCCTGTTGAAGTTAACGGGCGAAGAGGAGACAGCAACTTGCAGGAATTGCCCAGCACCTCACAAGGTTCTGTGTCAAGCGTCTTGGTCCTGCAGAGGCATTGTGTAAGGTATCAGGTTTCTTTTCTACGGAGAATTTGAAGTGTCTTTTAGCCAGCAGACTGAAAGCAGATGCCAGTTGTATCTCTGCAGTGCTCTGACCACAGAACCACCTCTCAGAAACATTACTCAGACCTCCCGTTCTCCTTTAAGAACAGCAGGCCATGCTAGATGCTGGTCTCCTTCTTGTAGCCACTGCACATGCCTGTTACAGCTCAATGTTTAAAGACCTGGGCCGAGAGATGAGACATGGGATAAAGCCTCTTGTTTTTCTGAAAGGACTGTGCAAACCCTTATTGTGGGTGCACTGCACATGTAGCAGGGTCACTGCTGTACAAACAGCCACCAGGCAGTGAGGTGCTCTGGTTTGCCCTTTAGCTCCCTTCATTGGCATGGCCTTGACTCAGGAAGGTGACGTGTTATTTGCCCCCGTCTGTGACATGCTGCAATGCAGAGCCAACATCAGACAGATCTTTATTCAGGAAAGAAGTCTGGAGAGGTGGGACGTGCTTTCATCAGTTCTTCCAGCAGCCTGAGATTTTTGCATCACCACACCTGCTTGTATGTGCACCCCCAAAAGCAGCCACCCACCCATCTTGTGCATTCAAATGGGTGCAGAGGTTGTGTGCACGACTGGCTGTTTGTTGAATACAATGTGAGCATACACACTTCAGGGAGAGCAATAAACATGTTGGACAAAATTAAGTGTACAATAAGTGATGGTGAGAGTGAGCATCTGTGTCAGAGCCTTTAGCACCCTGTGGTTGTAAGCATGTGTGAGCTCAGAGGCAGGCCTGGCTTGAACGGGGGGTTTCCAGAAAGAGCCAGGAAGCCAGAGGAAGAATTCATACTGGTTTGGGTGGACCAGGGATTAGAGTACTTGTTAGAGGGACGGTGGGTTCCAGTCCCACCTCTCTCTGCCTACCCTGGGAGCTGTCAGATAGCCAACACAGGCTGGTTTGGAGGTGTATATTCATCTCCTGTACATGGCAGCACAAGAATGGAATATAGAGCCTGAGTCCGGTGGGAGAGGAAAAGAAGTTTTAAACTCCCATATGCTCCTTGGTAATCCTGCCCCTCCATGCAGCAAATCATAGGGCAAAGTGGCACCTCGGAGCAGCTGGTATTTGGAGTTAAGGCAAAAGCATGGGCTGAAAGGGCTATTTGATGTACAATACCTTGTGCTTCTATTTAGGCCACCCTCATTCTCCAGAGTAAGTGCGGAGAGACACAGACTCTTCCCTCGTTGCTCAAATGCTGGCACGGAATAGTTTGCTGGCCGCTAGACAACATCCAGGAACTGCTAGCAATCCTGCTAGGGGAAGCCCAGGCCTCTGCCTGGAGGATCCTCCTTCTTGTATTGTCAATTCCCCATATTAATTTTCCAGATCGGGAGCTGAACCTTTGAAAAAGGGCTCATCTGAAAAGATTATAGAATTACTCCCTTGCTAATGAGCAGTTTAATGTCACGACAGCTTAACGTCCTGCAAGAAAAAAAGGAGCCTTAGCAATGAAACAAAGGGACCATGAGAACAGGGAGCCTGGGGGGTCTGGGAAAAGCTTTTTGAAGGGGGATGGAGGGTGTGCACTAAGTCACAGAAACACGCTGTTTGCAGGGCCAGCCTTGGCTTAAGCCCTTCACTCTAAGGAGAAGAAACTTGATGGAAAACGAAGCTAAAGAGCCCTTCAGTAATATCTTCAGCAGCCCCTACTTTTATCCCTGTTTCTGGTGCGGGGACCAAAGGGACAGCAACCCACAGCTTGATCCTTCTCCTCTGAAACAAGCATACGCCAGCCAGCAGCAAAGACAGCTCTCTGACATAGCACATAGAAATCTGCACCATTGGGCTGATGCACGATGTCAGTTCCTGTCTTTGGCAATGACTGGCACAGGATGCTTAGGAGAAGGCTGTAAAGCTGCCTAATGGGTAGTGGAAGAATTCCTTCCTACCTCAGGCAGTTAGTGGCTGGCTGGTCCCCTGAGGTTGATCTCTCTGAGAGGTTTCTATCCTAAGTCGTGGAACTACGAATTATAATCTTCTTAGTCCCATAAATATGTAAGGGGCCAAGAGGGGAGGCAACTATCTGACAGCTCCTTCCCCTTTTGATTTGCGACTGCAGGGAAAAGAAGCTCTTCATTACCGACCTGCCATGCTCAGGTCCTGACCCTCAGTACAGGCCCTGAGCTCGGTGGACAGCAGGGAGGCAAGTAACGTTTGTACTCGCCTATTATCGTAGGCAGGAGCATGCTCCTTTGTCCGTCAGTGCAATTTAGGACAGCCTGGAGGCTGCTCCAGCCTGCATCTGCTCCAGCAGCCCCTGACAGGGCATTATGGCAGCTGGAGATATCTGGAGCTCAGCAGCATTTGGGCCTATCCTACCCCTGCCATTCCCCCAACACACTTCTAATGCTGGAGTCTGTGGAGATCAGGGGGATGGTAGAAATCTGGCTTAGCTCATTTGTCCTATCCCACTGGCATGAAAGGGGGCAAACATGGGGATAAGGGAGTGGTTCCCTCTTTCCATAATGTGCACAGGTCTGTATGTTGTGCTTGTACATTTGCCAGCATGCTCCAGGAGTTAGTATTCATCTCCTAGACCATAACTATGGACCCAAATATGCCCCAATGGCAACCATGCAGCTTAGTCCGTTGCTCTTGCAGCGGGAATGTGCATGTGAGGTGGGGGATTACACTGCATCTGTCTTTCTGGCTTTGATCTTATGAGTAGGGACCCGGTTCTGCTCCTGCTGATGCTGGTTTAATTCCAGCATCGCTCCCCTGGCTAGAATGGGATTCTCCCAATTTACTTTGGGGCAAGTGAGAACAGAATCAGCCCTCTGGGACTAGGCAGGGGAGTGGAGTGGGGGAAACCTTGCTGTGCTAGATGAGAGGAAATGAAAAGGAAGGGCCAGTCTATATTTAGGTGAGGGCTCTGTTGTCTTTCCCTGAATTATCCAGCCCAGGGATTAGACTGCTTTAAACTCCTCACCAGGCCTCCCCCGCTCCAGGAGGCCACCATGGAACAGACTGGCTTTCTGAATCCCTAGGGGGCAAGGAATGGATTGAGGATGGCAGAGGGAAGGCTGCTGCTGGCCTGCTTGTGCATCTCTCCCAGGGGTTGCTCATGGCCCAGATGCACAGTGACACAGGAGTGACGTGCGATGCTACACGGAACATCCAGGGACGACCATTAAGAAAGAACAGAACGCTTTCTAAACAATTGGGGCAGCAGATAAAGATAGATGGTGGACGCAAAACAGCCCTTTCCCAATGCACAGTATTCCTGCTTCCCTCTCACATGCCTTTTCTTCTGGTGAGGAGAAGGGAAGGTCTCTCAGTCGCTTATCAGGTGCATCACTTTCTGTTTGGAATCTGTCCCTGATCTGCCTTATGCTGCCAGCATCTGACCTGCTTTGGCTGGCTTGAAAGTAACCCTGGGTCTGCAGTTCTGTGCCATCTGCCTTGCATAGGAATGAATCTCTATCCATATTAAATGATGGATCTGGCAGCATGGGGGCTGGAAGGTGACACAGTCACGGAAAAGATGATGGGTTCCTGTGCAATGAGCTGGTGGGCCTCAGCCCAGTGCCTAGTGAACAAATGTCAGCATAAAAAAGAGTGTTGCTTGTTGGCTCTCTCACCATGGAGGCTTAATGCACCATAGAGAATAAACTCCCTTTAGCTTTAAGCATGGACCTTCTGGGTCAGAATTTTTTTGAGGGTGATGACATGGAAGCACTGCCATTGTGTTTTACATGCCCTAGGGACAAATGTGTCTGTTCTCCAGGGCTATCAGGTCAGCTCCCTTTGACAGCACTAAATTCACTTAAAACTGAGTGAAAATTGTATTTCTGAAGTAGTGACAGGGCCACTCTTTGGAAGACTCAGAGGCTCTTGTTAGTTCCTCTGGGATTTTATCAGTTCTCCTACTGTCCCGCCCCATCCACCAGCTATTAGAGTTTACTTTACACCCCTTCCTCCACAATATTTTCCTTATCTATTCATTCTGCCTCTTTCACTCAGAAATAGCTAGATGCTTTTTATTACCCTCATTTTCCTCTGGACTTTGAATGCTAGCCTCTGATGTTGCTACTGTGTCCAGGTTCAGGCAAGAGTGAATTCTGATGAACCCATCTGAAAGTGGACTCTTGTCAGATCCTGGAGTGACAGACTATGAATGCACCTGCTATCCCACAAACCCGTCCTTGGAAATCCAGGGCCTGAGATGGCTTCAGCTGCATCAGCAATAAATTGTGGTGAATGACATTGATCTTTTCACGGGACGTGAATTCTGTCAAGGGCATTTAAATTGTGTTTAACATTCTCTCAGCTCTTTGCGGTGCTTCCTCAGAAACCTGGCATTTTGACCCTCTTGTATTTTTCTTTTCCCAAAATTAAGGCAAACTTTGTGCCCTATTCTGGCACTCTGTATTTTGGCCCAACTCTTACTGGTGTCATCGGTGAGAAGATGTCGTTTAAATAACTTCTGTGAGAGTTTGATTAAAATGAGGAATCCCATGCTTGGTCCTGTAAGCAGCTGTTGGAAGGGAAGTGGCTCTCTGAGAGCTGACTGGCAGCATCAGTGCTTGCTTTGCTTTGACTGACAGGTAGAGTCATGACTGCCAGTTATTGCTTTTTTGTGCTAGAACGGAATTAAAACAGAGAGCCCCAAAGGAGCACAGAGAAGAAAAGGGCACTGAGTGCAAACAGCCACTGCTTTTAATATCAACTATTGTCTTTTTTCTCTCTGTGTTGAGCATTATCAATTTCCTGTTTAAGTTAAAGTCAACACATCTGTTACTTTAGCATCTCTGGCTGCCTGGCTCCCTCCCTCCCCCACCTGCTCTCCCACTCCGTCTGCAGCCTCCCCATCCTCCTCCTGCTTTGCTGCTGGCGTGTGTGTTTTGTGGTGGCTGATGGGCTTGTTCACTGCTGGTTCCATTTGCTGTGGGATGATCAGCTTGGCTTGCAGAGCATTTACTCCTAATCCCCAGCTTGCGACAGCCTAGTGACAAAGGCAACTCTTTCAGGAGCTGCTGTGGGTGAGAACGCTGGGGGAAATGATTGGCAAGTGGCTGGTGATGCTGGAATGAAACATTTCCTAGTTCTGGTAAGAGATGCTTTTCCACTTGGTCCCCTTTCTGGGCAGTTGGTTACGGTGAGAGAGGATGAGCTGAAAGGGATAAAAAGCAGGGAGGGGAGGAAGTTGTGAAAGATGGACAAATAGCAGAGTCAACGCAATTTGCATGGAAGCTTTTCCAGTAGCAAATGTTTATCAGAGCAATTTATTTACCATTAGTGTCTGGCTTCTGGCTAGTCAGATCATGCAGTGATGAAGGCAGCTGAAGTACCTAGCCAGATATTAAGGCAGTCGCTAGCGTTATGTTTTCCCCTCTATGTTTCTTTCTATGTGTCTTTTCCAATTAGATCTAGATAAGCCAGATCCCACCGCCAGACCTAAAAGGGTACTTTGTCATGCACTTCTTTGGGAGTAGCTTGTGGAAAGCTCTTGTTTCAATCCGATGCCTTTTGCCTCACTAGCTTTGGAAGGTCATTCATGAATGTTTGTGTCTCAGTTGAGAAATAAAACCCTTCAGCTTTCCTGTGCGCTAAACTTACTCCTGGCCAGCAAAGTTTAACTGCATTTTTCTCTGGAGCTGGTCTCCCCTGTATGGTATGTATTTAAAATATAAAGAGAAGCCGTGAGACAAAACTGAGAGTCTAGTCAAACTATGAGTAGATCTGTGAGATACTGTGTGTCCCAGGCACACTGCTTATTTTGAATTTGAAGGCACTGATCTGGTTTAATTTACAGGACTTTTGAGCTGATAGCGCTGGCTTCATCAGAGTCTGGCCCAAGTTGTCTGTTACACCAGCAGTGAATTTGGCCTCATTTGCTTAAAGCAGGGGCGGGGAACCCTTTTTGGAAGGGGAGCCACCCACCCACAGAGAAATCAGTCAGGGGCGGCACGCAAGTGAGAAGCAAAAAAATAAAACCAATCCCTCACTGACGCGGCCTCGGAGTAGCAGGGGGGCTGGAGCACCAGTGTGGGGTCCCCAATGCTGTGGGAGGGGAGAGGGGGGCTTGAGCCTTGGGAGCTGGATCCAGGCAAACTGGGAGCTGCATCCAGCGCCTGGGCCTGTGGTTCCCCTGGCTTAAAGAGAAACAGTGAATAGTAACCCTATCAGCAGTCTGCTGTGCTGTGTCAGCAGAGGGCTGTCCATAATGTAGCGCTAGTGACAGAAAGGAAATGAAAAGTATGATCATGCATCTTCAGTGGTTCTGTTAACCAATGAAAAGCACTGACCCTTTTAGCATCCCTAGATCCCTTCCTAAAGCTGATGCCTGGGTCCAGGAGTTCTTGACACCCTTTTGTGAGAGAGGCTTGTAAAATCATTTGGTTTGGTGTATCCAAGCTGAGTTCCTTCTGTGTTTCTGAGCTTAGCCATCAGGGTTAAAAGAGACCTGCCGTGAGAAAACAACCAAGCTGATTTGTTTGCAAAAATTAAACCTCAATATATGCAACAATCTCCCTCCATCACAGACATTCTTCTGATTGTTTATACATACAGTGAAACTTTCACTGAGGACCCATTGAATATGCAGAAACCCCTGTTGTAAGTGCTAACTTTAGAGCATCCCTATGGTTCTAACACAGTTACATTAAACTTTTAGTTAAAGACTCAGCTCTGGTAGGCAACTGACTTTTGCTGATCCCTTGGGTGGTTGCTTCTAATATATTTCAATTTAACAGTCTCTGTATCACAACTACCAATAAAAATAGCACCAGCTGAAGAACAAGTGCTAAAAGTGAAAGGGTCTGCATGCCTTTTGCCATTCAGATACTGTACAAAGTGGCGATAGCACAGTAATTCTAGATTATAGTGATGGTGTGCCTTCACTATTGCCTCAATGATGCCACTGTGCAAATGGAGAGACTGCACAGCAAGGATTGTAAGTGCTTTGAGACTCATGTGTCTGTCCCAGAGGGAACAGCCCTTGTTGCCTTTAATAAAACCACAGGCTTCGTTTTGAAAGGAGCATAAATCTTTCATCGGTATGTGTTTTTGGAAAGACACTGTCAAGATAAAAATTAGAAATGGCTATACAGTATATTACTTCCCATGCCTCATTAGATTATAAAAACAGAAGGAATGTATACATCCAATTCTTTTAAAATTATCTGTTGTGTGGTGTTTGTTTACTTATTACATTTCTCGCAGCCTGATCTTCGTAAAGGGAATGGTCAATTTCATTTGTTTTTTCCTCCTACTTAGTTTAACCTACAGGTTTATCCAGACCCTCTGTTTGGGATTCTAGGTGCTGCACAGGAAGGGTTAACTGTATTTAAAAAATAAATACCACCTTCCCATTGTAAAAATCAAAGCACAAAAAAAAATCCTGGAAACATTCTCATGTGTGTTAGGTTGATACATGCTCAAACTGTAATTTTGGGGGCAAACTGGACTGACAGAGTCTTTAACTCTTTTAGGTCTACTCTTTTCCAGGGGCCAGTCAAATAAATTCTACTACAGTAGGGTGTGTGTGTGTGTGTGTAATTTGTAGCATCCTAAAGATATTTTCTTCATGACAATGATATTATATTCAAGAGACATGCTCCTGTATACAGATGGGACCAGAACCTGAGGTTTTCCAGATGCTACAAGGTCTAGGCAGCACTCCTGTTTGGAGACTGACATTTTAATACAGCTGTATGGGATAAAATGGAAGGATTTGTCCCCTTTTAAATGTCTATCCCTGTGATCAGCAGTTCCACTCAAACTACCAACATCAAAGCAGCAGAACCATCCTTATCCCTATGCAAAATGCGCAGTTGCCTAGGGCACCCAACATTTTGAGGCATCACTGGCTGTTAATGGCCATCCTTCTGCCTTTTTCTATCCCTGCTCTGTGGCTCTGCTTCCTCTGGAGAGGATCTAGTTAACTTAAAAGTGAAAAAGACTGCCAGACCTATTAGCAGAACATCAAACCTAGGAAAGAGCCATGCAAGTGGTAATTAAGTCATTTAACTGGCATTTTCCAACCCCAAGTATATACGGTCAGTTTCTGAATTTACTGTGTCCGTCTACAGAATCTTAGTTTAAAATTTGTTTTAAAAATATTTCATTCATGTGTTGCTGAAGATTATAAAATCACATCTCTAAAAAATCGTCATCCCCCTGCTGCCACCAGGCATAGGGGCACCAATTTAATAGTATTTCATAGGGTCCCATAAATCCTAAGGACAGCGCTCCGTGGCAGTATTGAATCTTTGAATCTTTTAATAGTATTTCATAGGGTCCCATAAATGCTAAGGACAGCACTCCGTGGCAGTCTTGAATCTTTGAGTCTTTATGGCTATGTCTACAATGCAGTCTTCTTGCGCAAGAAGAGCGTATCCACCCTGCATAGAGGCTATCTCGAAAGAAAACTCTGATTGCTATTCACAGAATAGCCACCAGAGCACGTGTGCTTTTGTTGATTGGCTCTTTTTGTGCAAAACCCCCCTGTTGCCCGTCCACACACACTTCTTTGTGCAAGAACTCTTGTGCAAATAGGAGTTATTCCTCGTAGAAAGAGGAATACCTACACTGCAAAAACTCCTCCGTTCTTTTGATTTACTGTAAATTTACTTACACTAAAATGCACTAGAGGTGTGGACGCTCCATGGGTTTTTGCGCAAAAACCCAGTAGAGTAGACGTAGCCCATGAGATCAAAGTATTCTGAACAAAGAACACAGTCGAGTAATGGTAGTTCCAATGGATGTGTCTTATTCTATGCATTGATGCCATGGAATATTTAGCTCATCATGAGAATTTAACTGAGGAACTGGAAACTTTCAGAGAGGGAAAACTTGTATATTTATTCAACAAAAATATACATCCAATCACCTTATGCCTATCCCCTTTTTTTAACCACATCTGCTAAATTATCATAAGCTATTTGTGTTTTAAACGAGGGCTTCCTCCCTCACAGCCCATCTGCTCAGTCTGCTTGTTCCTCCAGCAAAGTCACGATTCTGTTATCATGTGTTATGACTCTGGAAGGCTATGCTGCAATGATGGGACTGTAGCTTCACTTGGGGATGGGATAAAATAGGAGGAACTCGTCTGAAAGGGGGAGACCACCTAGTGAAAAGGGGAAGAAAGAGAGAAATACACCAGAGCAGACGAGTCAAGAAGTGCTGGCCCAGAAAGATACTTTTTTGGGTTTTTTTTGTATAAATGTTTCTTTTTGTCAATTCTGTCCTAGAATGAAAAACATCTTTTTATCGCAAGGTTCCATAAAGCCCCCACCAGGTCACTAGAACTGACTTCAATATGAGTTTTGCCTCCCTATGAAATACTGGTTCAAGGCCATTTTGTGTAGTGGATAGGCCCAATTCTACTCTCATCGGCTAAGTCTACACTGGCCCCTTTTCCGAAAGGGGCATGCTAATTTTACAGGTCGTAATAGGGAAATCCGCGGGGGATTTAAATATCCCCCGCGGCATTCAAATAAAAATGTCCGCCGCTTTTTTACGGCTTTTAGAAAAGCCGGAAAAGAGCGTCTACACTGGCCCCAATCCTCCGGAAAAAGCCCTTTTCCGGAGGATCTCTTATTCCTACTTTGAAGTAGGGTTTGAAGTAGGAATAAGAGATCCTCTGGAAAAGGGCTTTTTTCCGGAGGATCGGGGCCAGTGTAGATGCTCTTTTCCAGCTTTTCTAAAAGCTGGAAAAAAGCGGCGGACATTTTTATTTAAATGCCACAGGGGATATTTAAATCCCCCACGGATTTCCCTATTACGACCTGTAAGATTAGCAGGCCCCTTTCGGAAAAGGGGCCAGTGTAGACGTAGCCATTCAGATTATTGCTGCTACTATTAGCTACTTGCATTATGGTAGCACCTAGGAATCCAGACCTGGACCCCACTGTACCAGGCACTGTAGAAGCACAGAACAAAATGACAGTCCCTATCCTAAAGACCTTATGATCTAAATATAAGGTGAGACAACAGAGATGGATATGCACTGGCAGACAGTTGGGGTGGGGAGAGTAGTATAAGAAAATAAGGAGACAGTATGAGCATGACACAATGAGGTATCTTTTCAATCTCACTGGAATCAAGGCAACTGAGAGCAGAATTTGCTGTTGCTATGTTTTTCCATACCAAAATGGCAACCACTTGCTCTCACTTTAAACTGACCTCATTTTTTAGATTGAGGATTAACTACAAAAAAGAACAAAAGCAGTTGCTACGAGAGAGCAGCATGTACCTGTCACCTGTGCAACATGCTGCAGCAACTAGGGGAACAAAATGGCTGAAGTCTCAGCACATAGACTGAATTCTTTGATATAGAAAGGCATAGGGCACAGAAAATGAAGGTGTTTCATAGAAACCTACATCATAGGTTCTTAGTGTGTTTGTTGCAAAACATGCTAATAAATCCAATTAACTAGTGCTACTGTGCAGCATGGTGAAAACTGGCATCACATATGTTCCTAGTGTATGGACGGGGTGATACAAGTGATAAGTATTAATATTTGTCTAGCTTCCTCATTAACTGTTGAGCAGGCTGCTGGTCTGCAAACGTATCAACTACCCCCTTTTCTGTGACATTGCTAGAGGTCAAGTCTCATAGGGTCTGTCTACACTACCACCCTAGTTCGAACTAGGGTGGTAGTGTAGACAACATATGTTCCTAGTGTATGGACGGGGTGATACAAGTGATAAGTATTAATATTTGTCTAGCTTCCTCATTAACTGTTGAGCAGGCTGCTGGTCTGCAAACGTATCAACTACCCCCTTTTCTGTGACATTGCTAGAGGTCAAGTCTCATAGGGTCTGTCTACACTACCACCCTAGTTCGAACTAGGGTGGTAGTGTAGACAAACTAAAGTTGCAAATGAAGCCCGGGATTTAAATTTCCCGGGCTTCATTTGCATCTTGCTGGGCGCCGCCATTTTAAAATCCCCACTAGTTCAGACTCCGTGCCCGCGGCTACACACGGCACGGAGTAGGTAGTTCAGATTAGGCTTCCTATTCCGAACTACCGGTACACCTCGTTCCACAAGGAGTAACGGTAGTTCGGAATAGGAAGCC